GGTAGAGCCATGTCCACCATAGCCAGGTGCCTCGTTGCCAGCACTGGAGGTCACTACATTACATTCTCTAATGGGCTGCTCTAATAGTCACAGTCTTTCTAAGTGTCACATCTGCCAGATAGGAGACACAAAACAGCAAAGTGCTTCTGTGGACAAGACTTGTGCCCCAATGTTCCGCCGCAGCCCACAATAAAGCCTAAAGAGTCATTTGCTGATGGCCCTCCTTCAAAAGAGCCTTTTAACTGGATTGGCAGATTTCGGTCCGCTCCACAGGCTAAGTGAGATTAAAATGAAGCACAAAGACGGAGCAGAATGATGCAACAGAACAAGTTGGTCTTGGTTAGACTGAAAAGCAAGGCAAGACTGACTGGGTTGTGCTTTTTACATTAGGCATGCTTCTTTTATGATAGACCTACTTCTTCTTCAGAAAGAAGTCGGAGTTTACAGAGTAAAAATTAAATGAAAAACAATTCAGTAATTATATAATGACTGACAAAGATGATCTGAATCAGATACAATAAATATCACTATCACTGCTGTAAACTCAGCATTAGCCAACGTCATCTGCCCAGGTACTGTAATGATCACTCACAAGCACTGTTATTACAAATAACCACAATTACAATATGCAGTAACTCACTTGTCATTGTAAAAGCAGAAGTGTGTCAAGTGATCATTTCATACTGCAGATGGCTGTGGTGCCGGACTATCACTGCCCTGTACTGTTTATTATTCTCGTCAGCACCCCATGTGTCTATTAACAGGTTTTACATTAGTGAGCTGTTCGCAGGTTTTACATTATACTATCTATTAGCAGGTTTTGGTATTACATTTTCATGAGGTCAGTTCGAACAGGACTGCTATTACTGAAGGAGTTGGTTCGGTTAATTACAGAAGGTCATCTGCTACTGACAGAGTACAGACACTGCAGATTCATACTGGATTAAACTCAAGGGATTTCGTCATTAAATATCTGAATTACAGGACCTCCCCAGGTTGGGCTTTTTAATAAGCTAAGCTGAATCAGGTGTGTTATAGCGCATAAAAAACACTAAAAAGTACAGGGTGTCCCAAAAAAATTGACATCATTTGAGATGTGAATATCTGAGTAACTACATGTCTGAGGCAAACGAAATTGAATAGGCTTCATGTTGAAGATTTATCTATCAAAGTTCGAACAAGTAATTCAGAGGGATGTCGATTTTATAACCGATTTCACAAAGCTTCACAAATGTTCAATATGTGCACTGCCTGTGACACGACACACATCAAGTCGGTAGTCCAGCTCCTGCCAAACACGCTGTAGCATGTCTTGCGTAACAGTCTCCAGCGCAGTAATGATTTTCTGCTTGAGTTCCTCTAGGCTTGTAGGAAGAGGGGAGATATAGACCAGTCCTTTCACATAGCCCCATAGAAAAAAATCACAAGGTGTGAAGTCAGGTGAACGTGGTGCCCATTTCAACAGCATTACATTACATATTAAAAATTAAACTTGGTTAGTTTTTACACATTGTGTTAAAATTTGAGATCATTGAGGGAGAATTGGCTGTTATTAGACTACGAAATGATGTCACTTTTTTGGGACACCCTGCACAATGCTGTGTTACTCTAAGACAGTGAATGTGTTTAGAACCACTTAATAATCCAATCCGGATTTCAGCAGTTGATTGATCTGATTATTCAAGTGGTCATGTAAACAGCATACTCTAATTTCTTAGATAGGATTAAGGCCTAGAAATAAAGAGAGTTGGATTTTAGCTCAGTAATCAGGTTTTTGTAATCGGTGTTTTGAGACGCCAATAAAACCTTTTTGAAGCGATGCTAAAACCAACTATGTGCTTGAAGAAACAAAGAATTTAAATATTTTTCATCTTCATTTATATTTTCCACTACAGTGACTTGATGTCAAAAAAACAGGCCTATCATGATGATGAGTCTTATGGATTATGTCACATCTTCTACTGTGAGTTTACTGGTGGGCTGCAAAGCAGAAATCTGATTATTCCCTGACTCGTGTAGACACTGAGTTTACCCATTATTTGATTACTGACAAAAGCTGATTTTCTGCAGTTATCAGATTATTAAGTGCATGTAAACGCACTCAGTGCTTTCTCAACCCTGGTCCTGGAGGCCCACTGCCCTGCACTTTTTACTGTTTTCCCTGTTCCCAGCACCTGATCCAACTAATCAGCTCATTAACAGCCCATTATTCAGTTAAAGTCGGTGTGTTAAAGCAGGAAAAGCACTAAAATGTGCAGGACAGTGGGCCTCCAGAACCAGGGCTGAGAAACACTGCTCTAAGGCTGGGATTGAAAGACTATTTCTATGGCAGCGGTGCCCAAATCCTGCTCCTGGAGATATACCACTCTGCTGAGTTTAGCCCAACCCTAATCAAACACACCTGATTCAGGTAATGAAGACCTTAAGGGGGGTCTGAATATTAGACCCAGGTGTGATGGGTCTGAACTCTCTAGGGTGGTAGATCTCCAGGACCAGTTAGCCATGCTCTCCTGTAGGAAACCATGTTTGGCAGCCCCAATATAATGGAAAGAGCTGAGCTGATTAGACTTACCAATGAGGATATTACCTAATGACATTTAGACTAATTATTAAAAACAGACCTAAATGAAGAAAAAGAGACATGCTGATTATTTACAGACTTGCCTGTAACAATCCTTGTTCCTCCTTTATCTCTGATATGAAACACACACAATGTCCTTTACGTGGAGCATGTCATGGCCTATCCCTATAACGAGCAATGATGTCTATATTTATTGGCTAGTAAACTTTTACAGTAGGGTGACTGGGTAAGGTTCATCTTGAGCAGCAGTGCTCACACAGATCTCCGGCCCTGAAGAGTTTAGTTTCCTTACCACACCTGTCTCTAATATTCACAAGCTCCTAAAGCTCTTGATTAACTGAACCAGAAGGGTCACTTGGGGTTTGAACTTTTCTCAAGGGGTTGCTAGATGTCTTCAGTAACTTCTGCAGAAGTTACTTCAGGGTATCAAATGGAGCCAACAAATACCTTAAAAAGAAAGACTAAAAGCAGACATGAGCAGAGGTGGGTTGAGTAACCTGAAGCCACACTCAAGCAAAAGTCCTGTTACTGCAGTGTAACAATGACTCAGGTAGAAGTACAGGTAACTACCGAAGACAACTTTAGTAGGAATCAAAAAAGTATTACAGAACTGAAGTAAAACTTCTAAGTACCTCTAGAATCTATCAGTATAGGGACTGACATATTTTAGGCATTATAGTTCTCTTTAAGCAATGTTTAAAACAAATTGATAAAGCTAAAAAGTCAGAGATATGAGCAGCAAAGCAGTCCCCGAGGTGCTGTCACCAACAGAAAAGAATGAAATTTAACACAAAAAAGGAAAGTGAAACTAAATGTGAATGACTAAAGTGGAGCTGAGTAAATAAAGACTCATTTCCTCACAAATATCCTTGAGTGTCAGTGAAATCATAATCATTTGAAAAGTACAAACCAAGAAGAATCATACCTAAGCAAGTGGAACTGCTTAAACGTATCTGGTTACATCCCACTGCTGGAAAAGTTATTGTGATTATTGACTTCTTCCCCTACTTTTTCCACCTTTCCTAGCTGTGGTGAAATTTCTGAACACTTCCTTTAGCTATGTTCAGCGTCAATAAGTGTATACTTATGTTAAGACAACAAAAATGGAGGATGCATCTAACAAAAACAGGTCAAATTACTGCTAAAGTACTGCTTTAGTTAAAGTGGAATTCCACCAATTTTTTCAAAATGTCTGTATAATTTAGTCACTGAAATATAAAAGTCATTCAGAGCGGTCTGATGTTAAATGATTCATAGTAGAGAACTTGACGACTTAGATTTGTTTACAGTGGTGGGGATAGGAACCAGGGGTTAGCAAAAATTGCTATTTTATTCACTATTTAAAACCACACGTGTCTTCTGAGTTTTTATATGTAACGTTGATGATGGGAAATAGTGGTAAATCTGGAAAAATAAGTTTTGGGGACTACTTAGCCTCATAACACCCTACATACACCCCTCTGCCATGAATAGCTTTTAAAAATAGATGTTTTAAGGTCAAATCCTTACCACAAAACATTCGTAAGACAAGGTCTAAGAGACCAAGCAGCGTACTCGTAACCATTTAATGTCATAACTTTCTGTGAGGGAGCTTTTAGAGGTGGACGTCTGGTTCCTATCACCATCACTGTGAACAATTCTGATTCTGCAAGTTTCTCTAGTAAAGAGCATTTCACACCATACCACTCAATGACTTTATTTACATTTTAAGAACTTAATTATGCAGAATTTTTGAAAAATCGGTGGACGTCCCCTTTAACCGGCTAGGCAGGCAACAGAGAAATTCCATGTTGTCCACACTGGCGATGCGATGAGCTGCAGTGTTTACGTTGGTCTGTAAGACCCCCGCAGAGCTCTTCCCATCTTCACATCTCATTACTTGGCAAAAGTTTACTTATTGCGAAATTTGCGACTAAGGCATTTTGCAAGAATATGAAACCAGTTATAAATGATGTCATTTTTAGCAAACTCAACTAGATGGCTACCTGCATGTTTGAGCTGATAGTGCTGCTTTTCAGATCAAACACATTAGCTGCAGCTAAATTTAAATGATTTTCAAGCTAAATAACACAGCTAACATTACTTGTGCTAACGGTCTAGCCTAACTACTGCAGTGTCAGTTCAGTACATTCAAAACTGCACTGTAGCTGCTTAATCTCAGCAGCCTCTGTCTTCCAGGAGTCCCATAAAGCACTACTGACCATCTCTAATAAACAAAAGATGCAAATAAACACAGCTAACGTTAGCTAGCGGAGCATCATGACGTGTACTGTGCTATAACGACACTAATCGCGCGCCGTTACCGTTATGCCGTTATGTGACGCCAACAGCCCACCCAGCAAACTTGAAGCTAAGTTTCAGACAAGTTAGAAGTCCAGCAGAAGGACTAAAAACCACAAATAACCAAAACGTAGCCTACCGGTAAAGACGAATAAGAGAAGAGCGAGATTAAGTGACAGTGCTGCAGATGCTGGAGTATGTCCCAGGGTAAAGCCGCGTCCCTTTGCCATGATTTCTGAACGCCGACGCTGCTGCGCTGCTGGATCGGACACACGGAGCCAGAGTGACCGCTCGGAGAGGAGGCGGGGCCACCGCGCCAGTGGGCGTGGTGCGTGTTCAGCTCGGCATCGCCCCGCCCACCTCCCCGACCAAAATAAACTTCCATAAGCTATTTTAATTACAGCATCTATTTTCAGTCAGGCGGAACTTCGCACAACACGTAAACAAGCAAGTTAATCATAAGCTTTAATAGACATGCTATCATTTTCAGCAAAACGAGACTAAGACTGGTATTAAAGAGCCCGACCATTTTTAAAATAAGCACATACGGTTTACCCGTTATGTAAATAAACATCTCTCTCTCTCTCTCTCTCTCGCTCGCTCGCTCGCTCGCTCGCTCTCATTATATATATGTAAGTATAGGTGACTGTGCAAAAAATGTCTGGGTATCATGGATCTTGGTGCAAGTCAACAGAAAGAAGGTCCTTGAAAATATGCGTAATGATAGCTCCGGTACCCTCGACACACGTGGAAATTTATTCCTAAAATTTTACTCAAAGAGAAACTTGAATAGTTCAAACTCAGAAGCAGCACTCGGATTAAAGCACACACCACGGTGGGCACATATTCCATTCGAGTCTGGGTTTTATCCACGTCTATAAAGAGTGACAAACGTGCAGTTGAAAGGTGCCATTTGCTAAAATCAATCACTTTTATTGCTGCTCTTTTGTATTACTTTTTCTTTCGTTCCCTTGGTTTATACGCCTCGGGTTGTCAGCGCTACTGGACCGATATTAATTATTTATTCATCTCGCACTTCAGCTGAAGAGCTCACCGAGTTACTGTAGGCGTGTCGCATTAATTAGAATATTTAATAACCCAGAAGTGTGATTGGTTGCTACTTATTTGCGCCAGCCTCGCCCTCGTGGAAAAAATTAACAGTAAATAAAATAAATTGTACGAGTTCGCCATCTGCTGGACGATTCGACAACTACAATCAGCCAGTTTCATTATCAGTGTTCAACTGACGTGTTTTTTGTGTTTATGACACTTACAGGGAACCTTGTAGGAAATGCTTGATTACTTTTAGGAAATAGAATTTATTTATCTTAGTAACCACTTATTTAAACCATAAAACCGTGACTGTAGATATTTTATTTCTGGCATTTATTTATTGTTTTATTACTTTAATTATTGGAATTGGATATAAAATGCAATAAATTATGACAATAAACCAAAAGAATATATTATTTATGGATAAGTACGGAAGCTAGGTACATATTAGAAGTTGTGTATATATGTAAAATTATCTAACATGGTGGGGGGAAAATGAATATTTTATTTTTATTTAATAAATACAAATGGATGACAAATTAAAACAAAAACCTGAAAAAATGAGTGCGAATGCATCCAGACATGTGCATTGCATGATACAATTAAAGAGAAATTCCACCAATTTTTCAAAAATTCTGTATAATTGAGTGGGTAAGATGTAAACAAAGTCATTCAGAGTGGTTTGGTGTGAAATGTTTAGTTCTAGAGAAAATTACAGAGTTAGAAGTGTTCACAGCTCAGTTCAAAAGCTCCCTCACAGAAAGACATTACATGAAATAGTTATGAATATGTTGCCTGATTCTTGAGACATTGTTGAGGCATTTATGACTATTTTACCATCATCAACATTACATATAAAACTCAGAAGACATATGTAGGTTAACTGGTGGTTTTGGATAGTAAATAAAATGGCTATATTTGTGTTGTAGACATTGTGTCCCCTGTTTCCTATTACCACCACTGTAAAGAAATCCTAGTTGGAAAACCTCTTTACAACAAACCATTTCTCATCAGACCACTCTGAATGATTTTGTATAAGTCAATGCTTAAATTATGCATACATTTTGAAAAATGGTGGAATTTCCCTTTCAGCAGTTAGCATCCTAACATGACCTATGGCATTTAAAAAATACTGAGCAGGCTCAGGTTACCTAAATTTCCAGTCCTATTTGACGCATCTCCAGCCTTGTGGTCTAAGGTCCCCAAGGCCCCTGGCAGTCAGAGGCCCCTGGACCCTGCATCAGTGGCACATTCAGTAATCCATCTATGCCTTTAAAACAAGGGTGGCGAGCTGAGGGCCGGAGTCCAGCACAGTTTGCTGATTTCCCCACTCTAGCGCACCAACTAAACCTGGCAATTACCTGATGAGTTAAATCAGGTGTGCCTGAGTAGGAAAATCATCAAACTGTGCAGGAATCTGGCCCTCCAGGACTGGAGTCCCCCACCTCTGCTTTAACACGTTGAAACATTTCAATCCTAATGGGAGTAGTCTTTTCCAGGTTGACAATGCCCCCGTCCACAGGGCACGAGGGGTCGCTCGTGTTTCATGTTCATATTGGTTTTCACCTTTAATTTGTCACCTGTCTGTATAGACCCATTGACTTTTTTCACACTTTATTGTGTGGTGGATTTGATTGTGAAGGGATGTAATTGCCATTGTTTACCCTTCAGTCTACATTCAATCACCCACGATGACAAAGTGAAAACATGGTTTTGGAGGTTTTTGAAAATTAATTAAAAATCAAAAAAATATATATTTTATAATCAATACACACACACACACTTAAGCCACTTGAACACAATTTGGAGTGCCACAGCAATGAATCTGAATACTTCTGTGAATTAGAGATTTCAGAATCTGATTTTTAATTTTCTTTTTCAAAAAAAGCTAAAAAATATGTTTTCACCTTACCATAACGTGTGATAAAGTGAAGACTGGTGGGTAAAAACTCCAATTATATCCATTCAAAATCAAATCCATAACACAATAAAGTGTGCAAAAAGTCAAGAATACAAAAATGTATTTCATGGTAGGCCTTTCCATAATAATAGTCAGGTTACAGAACCACAGTTTCCACAAAATGAAAATATATTCATCCATCTCCTAAAAGCAAAAAGGCATTCAAAAACTGTACAGTTTTAGCGCATTAATTCAAATGAAGAGCAGCACAGTGAGAACTTTTCTATTTCATTTAATCCAATTGACAGCTGATGGCACATATGCATTGGGTTTCAGTAGTGAAAAAGGCATGACACAATTTCTAGTCATCTTGTTAAGGTATGTGTCTGTAATTTGTACAGGAAAAGAAAAACACCTTGAAAAGACACTGAAACGGAAAAGTAGGTTGGTTGGACAAGCTGAGAATCACGTGAGAATCGCTCATGTTTGTGTATTTGAAATTTAAGATATTTTACTTTATTATATTTTGAATAAAAGTATTTTATTTGTTTATATTAATAAAAGTATCCCACTAGGAGACTTGCAGAAAGGGGTTAATTCATTTAACACACACAGCTCTTCATTCACAAAGGCCATGATTGATTACATCATGTGCATGAAATTAGTTTTATTTTCTTCAGAAACTGGAGATGTTTGATGCTTGGTTAAAGAGCAGCTTTAGAAAAAGTCTCCAGCTGTTATCTAGGGCTGAAAGGTTCACACAGCTAAAAGCTCAGAACTTCTCTACAAATAAAGCATTTTCCAAGTCTTTTTACATCATGTTCTCTTTGGCAAACATACAGCGCCCAACTATGATGTAACTGCTCCCCCCACAACCAAAAGGCCAAAGCCAAGAATAACACTTTAGCAGGCAACGTTCAGCCAGCACCCCCCAAAAAATAGAAAGCACTGTTTTCTTAGCAACAAGTTGCTATATAATTTCCATCAGCCAGCAAACATTTATGACTAATCCAGATGTTTGACCTTAAATTAGTTTCTCTTTACCTACATGTGGTAAATACAGACCTCACAGATGTAACTGTAATCATAAAAGAAAATAACACTTAATTAGATATTATGTCTTAACTCACCATTTACTTCACTCCAAGACAATGAAATCACTTTTCCAGGCTTAATGTAAAAACAGTAGCTTAAAGCACCACCTACTTAAATAATCCTTTTCAAGTTTTTGAAAGGTTGTTGCAGTAGTGAGGTGGTAGTGGATGTGTGGTACATTAATGCAGGTACAGAGAGAAAATAAGTAGAAAAATAAGGTTTATTTGTTCATACAAAGTTGCAGCAATACATTTCCATTCTTTAATTATTTCACAAACAACTGTGCACAACTGAACAAATGACAATGCATCTTAGTTCAAATTAGTTCAAATACACAAACATGAGCGATTCTCACGTGATTCTCAGCTTGTCCAACCAACCTACATTTCCATTTCAGTGTCTTTCCAAGGTGTTTTTCTTTTCCTTTACAAAATAGACACATAACTTAACAAGATGACTAGACATTGTGTCATGCCTTTTTCACCACTAAGCATTTTGGCTTAATTAGAATGCTAACTGAGCAAAAGATATTATTTCTTCAATGACAAAATCTAATCTAAGCCTTACAGCAAAAATCTGTACGATTCCTTCTTAGAACCAGCTTGAAATGAACCATAAATGCATTCTACATTCTAGCTCGTGATACATTTGAACCAGGACCTCAGCATGGATCAAACAATTCAAACTCGCTGGTTTCCACAGCCATGCTCCTCCAGCAGTGTGCGTTCAGGCAGCTGAAGGGCACTACGATGCTCTATATGAGCGAACTTAAATACAGTTCTTCCTAAGAAGTCCTTTCAGTCTTCGCGGAGGTAGGCCTCAGGTATATCCTCCAAGTCATGCAAGTTGATGCTGGAAGCGTACTCAGCCATTCTCTGGATCTCATCAGCTTTAGTCTCGGCCAGACTCTTCTCTGCTGCCAGACGGATTTTCCTCATCTCCTCCACCTTAGACTGCGCCACCTGCAGGCTGGTCTTTAAGGCAACGGATGCATGTTCCGCTCCTGCAAATGGAATAGTGCAGGGTCAGTTAACCGAAACCACAATTATCAACAGCGAAAAAAGATTTTTCTACTAGAGACATTTAGCTTATAAATACATACCTGAATTGTAAGCTGCCTCGGCTGACAACTCACAGATCTTGATGGCATTCATCCAGTTTGACTCAAAGCGCTTGCACTCATCCAGCCTGTCACTAACCTGTTGAAAGAAAGAAAGACTCAATGAGTTCTGCAACTCATAACAGAAGTCAATGAAACCTACAACTCTCTATATAAAGAGAGCCAAAGATTTTTTACTATAACCTCTATAGATTTAATAGAACCAACTCTGTGGAATCAGTCACTTTTGAGTAATGTCAGTCATTATTTCTAAAGCATTACAGCCAAATAAGATGTAATCAAAAAATGAGTAACATAGTAATTCATGTGTTGGTAAGTGACTACTTTTTGCCCACACAGTTGGTCCTAACATAACTACAGGGTAGGCCATGACTGATTTACTTTTTCCCCCCATTCCTGGACCCGGAGTGGCCCTGCACATTCATCTGCTTTCCTTGCTTTCAAACACACCTCTTTTACATTATTCATTAACTTGCTAATTCACAAGCCCTTGGTGAGGCTGAAATGGGAGTGTTTGGTGAGTTACAGCAGAGGACACATGAAACTGTGCAGTGCTTTGTCCTCCAGGGCCAGGACTAAGATACAGTGCCATAGAATAAACATGTTGAACATTACCTCTACTCGCTGGCCAATGATGACTTGCCAGATGCTGTCTTCCTCTGCAGGTGTAAGTTTTCCTATTGAATCCAAATAGCGCTTCTGAAGAGCAATGAGGGTGTGCAAAGCCTGAGAAAAAGACAAAAAAGGTGTAAATTATTACACCCTATGTTCTGGAAAACACTCTTCAATATAAGAAAAAGATCTTTCGAGCTAAATTCTCATGATACAAACCAAAAAGAATACTAAATATGCCACAGGTTACAAGCACATACCTTTGAATAGCATGTAAGGGCATCCACAAGGGCCAGAGTGGTCTGGGAAAGGTAGGTGTTGGCGCTGTCTGTGACCAGGCAGGATGCCCGCCGAATGAGAGATTCATGTGAGAGGTTTTCCACCTGCTGGAAGAAAAAGACCCCACATCTTTAGCTTATGCTACATTTCATTATCACGCTTGAGTATGTTTACTAAGAACTGCCCTCATGTTGAGGTTGAGTGTCCCATTCAATGCATACTGTTCATACATTTCTGACTACAGATGGGCATTGATGAGTGTCAGTATTGGGCCAATATCAGCAGCAAAGGCTAATCTGAAAATCGGAGGGGGAAAAAACTGTGAATGCTGTAGCAAATCTAGCTTGAAGTAGCACACGCACTCACATTACTGTTAGCTGTGTATTTCTTGTGGGGCTGTAGAGTGATGGAGTAGTTTGAACATGATAGCTGACTTTTAGATGCTCATCTTCAGTGAAGTGCTTCAATTAAAAAAAAAAACCTTATTTTAAAGCTTAGTAGTTTAGACAAGAAATGTTGGATCAGTTTCGGGTGATACTCAAGGTTTCAAAATGAAAAGCAGTAGAATGCCATCACTAAATAAAACGCATGACAACCTCAGTTTGTCTTTTGTGCATTTCTTGAATTTGCCCAGAAGTTGCTTGAACTGTTCCAGAGTTTGTGCTTGCATTTTTACAGAGCCCCTTGCAGTATTTCTGCTTTCCCTTGCAATAGTTCTATTTATCCCTTCAGATTTTTTGCATTCCTTTGCAAACGCTTTGCAAAATCCATTGCATTTGCAAGAGAATGCAAAGTTATTGCTAGGGAGCGCAGTCATTACATTTTCTTTGTTTGTTTTCACCACATCCCCTTTGGGGCCTTGTACCACATTTGTAATAAGAAATTTCTTTTGTATTTTCTTTCTGGTAATGAAACTAATTCTGTTTATTATTATTATTATTATTATTATTATTATTATTGCTACTCACTACTTGTACTTATTTTCGATGCCAGGAAGGAAAAAAACGAAGAAATACAGTAAATGACACTTAAAAATGACTGTATTCTCCTACCTGTGCGAAGGGAACTGCGCACAATCCGCTCCCAACGCTGAACGTCGCTGCTTCTGTCCGTGTGACTGCGGGAGCGCGCAGCAGCTGGCGGACTGATTTCCTGTTGCTGCAGAGCGAGTTGCTCGCTCCCCTTCAGGCAAAACAAACACAACAATTTAGCACAAGCTAACAAAAAATTAAGACTTTACACAAGCTTCGCATCCCCTCATCACTAAATTACAACCGAATGGTAGCGCTAGAGGAACAATTTCACACGAACTAAAGTAACGTTAACCCAAGTCAGAGACAGCTCTGGTATCTCTTACAGGACGCCTGTCACGGTACTGTACTGTTACGTGCCGGACTTCTTTCCACGTACGCAACAACACACAAGATAAGGGAACGTCTGCGTCCGCACAAAGAGTTAAACCCATAAAATAATTCCAAATGTATATTTTAAAGATATTTACCTGAATAGGTTCAAGCATGCAGCAGCTCGGCGGATCGCAGCCATGTTTGCTTCGCTGTGAAGGAAGTCGGTCCGGCTGTGAAAAAGGCCCCTGGACACACACAGCCCGCAGTGTCTGAACGCCTGCATTTTTCTGTACTGGTTCTGTGCTCTTACCGACTGACAGACTGACTCTCTACTTCTTCACTCTCTCAGTTTTATCTTCGCTGCCCTGTTTAAAATAGTATCAGTTTCGGCAAATTAAAACTTTTTAAAGGTATAAAGTCGGCACCAAAATTATTCAGTGTTCAAAAAACCTCGAAAGCCTGTCTTTTTAGCTGTTCTCAGTGAGTCTGGAATGTACAGATTGCCAGGCCCGTATTTATACGCTGAGGAGGCGCTGTTGACCTCCGTTCGGGTAGTTTATTGACCAGTGTACTCTAACTGCAATCACAAAGTGGTCGATTTAAGTTCAAGGAGAGACGTGCTTGACGCACAAGTTAAACACCGCGTCAGCAGAAAAGCCTTGGTGGTCCACTAACGAGCTGGGTCTTTTTAGTAAACAGATTGTGGGACAAAGGCTGACGAACACGCCAGTCCCCTATCAGTACAAGCAGCAACGGACAATGAACAGCACCCAAAACAAAACACGACCAGTCTACGTGCACATAACTTAATCCAAAGGTGCAGAATAGGATAAGAGGTAAGGGACACTGCTGTTGGACACTTAACGCTTGGAGGTTATCCAGCTCTAATGGAAAATATATACCTCTCCCAGGACAAAGCAGGTTATGCACTGTCAAAAGCCAGATTTAGGGACTGATTTTTCAAACTCTCTGCACAGTTCATTCACTGTGATGTGAACAAACTCATCCAGAGTCATTGATGTGAGGTGGTGCACTGTAGAGAAACCTGGCAGCCCAGATTTTCTTCACGGTGGTAGTGAAGGGAACCAGGGGTCGCAATGTTTACTACGCAAATGCAACGCAAACGTAATGCTGATGTAATACTGGCAATGGTGAAATAGTGGTAAATCTGAATAAATGCTAGAATAGTACTAGTTTGCCTTGCATCTCCTTGCATGTACCTCTCTGTGTTTTTTCTTTTTTTCTTTTTATTTTCTTTTCATTTTTGAAACCTTTAGAGGCATTAAAAGCTTTGGATGCCTCGTTCCAGTCACCACCATTGTCATGGTCATTCAGCTGATCCTGAAAAATTCCCCTCCATGTCAAATGTATTGTGTACCCAATAATTCACCATGGTTATGCTTCAGTATGTGCAGCCATTTGTTTCTTAGTTGGTGCAAATCAAAAGTAAACTGTTTAGAGCTTTTACATTTGCAGTCTTTGTCGCTGCCAGTTAGCTGTTGCATTCAGAGATGTGTCTGTGCATTAGGGAGAAAGACAGAATGTTAAACATTATTCAACAGAAATAGTCTCCAAAGAAAACATATTTTTTTCAACATTTAAGAGTAAAATTAAATGCATGCAGGGTGGAGAGGTACATGCAAGAAATCGTATATGCATTGTTTCAGATTTACTTTACTATATTATCATCATTACATGCAAAAACATGCAAAAAAAGTTGGGTAGGTTCTCTGGTGGTATTGGGTAGTAAATAAAATTGCTATATTTGCATTGTAGACATTGCAACCCCTGGTTCTTATCACCACCACTGTAAAGAAATCTGAGTTGGCAAAGATCTCTGTAATGTACTATTGCACATTGACCACTCTGAATGACTTTGTTTACATCTCAGTGGTTTAATTATGCAGACATTTTGAAAAATTGGTGGAATTCTCCTGACCTTAGAGAGTTAACAAGCTAAATTTAGATTTCAGGTTGACTTTAATTTTAGTTTGACTAAGGCTCCCCCTCTGGTGCAAATGAAAAGCAGACATACTGAATACTGGACAACAAAAATGTTGCTGTTTATTGATTATTTGGTTCTGATTTATTTTTTGCTCAAAATTGCTTATTCTTTTATCGCTAATCATTTTTGTAAATGACTTAGAGATGCCATTAATACTTGGGCGGCTCGGATGATTTAGGGGAGCAGTGGTTCTTGAGGTGTGTATTTCTGTGCATATTTTCCAGTTTGCTAGGAATAAATGTGGAGATCACCTGTGACTACAGCTTTGTAACCTCAGCATTGTTTGGTGTATACAGTATGTCAATACTAGATTATATCATCAATAATTATTTTTTTGTAGCTTGATATTAATTAAAATAAATTCATATTCTCAGATGACCATGTTTACATCCCTTTATGTATAAACCACACTCTTAAAAAATGGTTCTTCATGGGTTCTTTAGTAATGACAGTGGTTCTGTATAGAACCACGAAGACTTAAAGAACGATTTGCATGCTTAAAGGCTTCTTTGCATCGTGAAGTGGTTCTTCAGATTGATGGAGAAAATGTTGTACAATAGCAGAACCCTTTTCGGTGCTATAGTGTAGTGTACAAAAAGTGTTTTTTCTCTTTTTTTTAAGAGTGTACACAGATATTCTGTTCTATAAAGAACAAAAACAGATTTAATTAAAATGAAAAAAAATCAGAAATTACTGCTTTAGCGTTTCAAATGTATTATTATTCTCTATAAAGCTTTCTGTAATAGTTAATGGTCAAAGTTTTGATTAGGAAGATGATCAAGTAAAGAAATAAGATAAGTGCAAATCAGTCAAGAATGACACCGTGCAGAGGGGCCACCTCTGCAATAAGGCCAGATAACAAATGTATTCTCTGCATTGTTGTAGATGGCTCATTCACCACCCAACACAGTCACAACAGTGTGTACAGAAGATAACACCCTCAACAGAAGAGTCCACGGTAATACACAGAATTCAAACACTTCGACAGATAAGACAGTTGATGAAACATTGATTTTTTTTCTCAAATGTGCAGCACTGTCGATTTCGCCTGGGTCCATCAGGTCACTTGATGTCAAATCACAAAGGCTTGACACTATGCTTTATAGATCTTGGAGGCACTACGTAAGAGGATACAAAATAACGTCAGAGGTGGAGGCTTGGCCTTCTTTGTTTGCTGAAAATACTGCAGGGAAGGAACATTTGTAAAAGCCAAAGCCATCACTGACCATTTTATGTTTTAAAGGTTGTATTTCATTGCAGACTTAGTGGTGAAACATGCACTTTTAACAATTTGTAACTAGATTATTGGTGGTTTGTTTTCAGTCAACAGTACGTTTAGTTTTGACCTTTCTTCAGACTGTTTTCCCATTGCAAATGGTTTTGTTTTTATTTTTAAAAAATTAGACTGTTCAGGTATAAACCATGAATGAAATAAGTGTTTTTACGCTATTCATTCACTGGCCACGTTATCAGTAACACCTACTTTGTATCTACACTCTTTGTCCTGTTTATCAGGTATATGTGCCATATAGCTGCACTTTGTAGTTCTACGATTACAGATAGTAGTCTGTCTGTTTCTCTGCGTAGCCCCGCTTTACCCTGTTCATCAGTAGTTAGTACCCCCACAGGACCACAACTGTGCAGATGTTATTAACGGGAAACAGACGGACTGTAAACTGTAATAGTGGAGCTACAAAAATGCATCCATATAGTGAGTGGACCTGATAAAATCAACAGTGATGGTAGATACACAGTAGATGTACATTATAGAGAGAGCAGTAAGTGGATGTTCAAAAGTTTGTAGACGCCTGCTTATCCAGTGTTTTTCTAAAATAATATGGATTTTTTGCCCTCTTTGCTGCACTAACAGCCTCAGGGAAGATTTTACATTAGATGTTGGAACATTGCTGTGAGGATTTGATTGCATTCAGTCACAAGAGCATTAGTGAGGTCAGACTGTCATGTTGGATGGAGTTCTGGATCAAAAATGCCATTTCAGCTTATCCCAGAGGTGTTGAATGGTGCTCCAGCACTCCAGAGAACACAGTTCCACAGCTCTAGCTGATGGTTTGCATCATGCATGGTGACCTTAGGCCCGAGTTCAGCTGCTCCAGAGTGTCCCATTCTATTGGCAGTGCTTTTCTTTTGAGATGGCACAAGCAGTGTGTGTGCAATTGAATGCCTGTGACAGGAATTGGTACACCTTACAGTAGCTAAATGCACTAATTAGAGGGAGTGTCTGGATACTTTTGGACATATAATGCATGTCAAATAACTGAGGCTTTACAACACCCATTACAAAGCTTGGAGCCACTGTCTAAGATGATACAAAGTGATCTCAGAGCCACTGCTTAAGCGCATGTTCATACTCTCCTAAAAAGATTGTTCTTCAAGGGTTCTTTAGTAAAGAAAATGCTTCTATACACTGATCAGGCATAACATTATTTGTTTCTACGCTCACTGTCCATTTTATCAGCTCCACTTACTATATAGGTGCACTTTGTAGTTCTACAATTACAGACTGTAGTCCATCTGTTTCTCTGCATACTTTGTTAGCCCTCTTTTACTCTGTTCTTCAGTGGTTAGGACCCCCATGGACCCTCACAGAGCAGGTACTATTTGGGTGGTGGATCATTCTCAGCACTGCAGTAGCACTGATGTGGTGGTGGTGTGTTAGTGTGTGTTGTGCTGGTCTGAGTGGATCAGACAAAGCAGTGCTGCTGGAGGTTATAATGTTATGTCTAATCGGTGTATATAGCATCATGATTAAAGGGTTTGCATGATTAAAGGGCTTCAGATTGATGGAGAATGTGGTACAGATGGTTATATATATACAGCACATTCTTCATCAATCTGAAGAACACTTTCATAATGCATAGAACCCTTTAATCATGCAATCATCCATAGTTCTATATAAAACCATTTTTTTTACTAAAGAACTCTTAAAGAACCGTCTTTATTAAATGTGTAGAATGCAAATGGATGCAAATATGCAACAAGGAAGGAGAGTCTTTTTAGTATTTCTAAAAAGATTTTCCATAATTTTATAACTATCAGTGTGGGCACCTTTGAAGACAAACTGATAGAGGTTCTTTAAATGCATTTGCTTTTACATCCAAAGAACCCCTTTTCCACATAGAGAAATGGCAAGTGTTTTTTCATATTGCCTTCACCACACTTATGTAGGTGTCAGGATAATGTTAACATTAATACAAGTGGGTGATTTGATTATATGAGCCCTAGAGTTGAAGTGCATGAGGGGCCAAATTGGGTTAATGGTTGAGAGCACACTAGCCTGCCATGCTTGTTTTGCATGGTGGGCTTATAATTAACAGAGATAGTGACGGACTGTTTAGAAGGGCTGCTTTGAGAAACACCTAACGGCCATAACCAGCAAACTGAAAGGCACAGAGACGTAGATTTGAAGTTGCTCTGATCTCTTTAGACCAAACCTCACAGTTATTTGGCAGTGGTTCATTTTGATGCTACATTAGAAAAACCATGAAGTATAGCCATGGATTGTTAATAATGAAAGTCAGTCATTTTGCTAACGGCTGTAGGATATGTTAAGTTCAATGGCAGAATGAACTGATATCGGGACATTCTGGCCGCAGTCCTGGCTGCCTCTGCCTGGAAAGTGTACCCTGTGTCCATGTGGAGCTTTCAGCGTGATAATGACTGTGCGCTTACCACTAAATCAACAAAAATAGTTGATTGAGAACAAAAGCCACATTTTGCAATCATTATTTTAATCTCTCTTTAATCTGCTCTTTAAAATACCTTGGTCTTTTGAATCATTTCTTTATCAATCATACCTGATAAAGCCAATTGGTCTGAATTGATGAGATCAGTTCTAAAAGATAGACTTGAAAAACATCAGAGTGTGTTTTCATGTCTAATTAACCCTTAAAGTCTGCCCACTATCAAAATTCACCTTTTTACCTAATTACAGTGCTTCGCCAAAGTATTCACCACCCTTAAAATCAAAGTGATATGCTCTTAAAGTGAATTTTTAAAGTCAGGATTCATTATTTGTCAGCAGATCTTTAAAAAAAAAATGCAGCTTGCATAAGTATTCAACCCCTTCATACTAGTACTTTAAAGAACCACCTTTTGCTGCATAAACAGCTTTAAGTCTGTTGGCTAAGTTTCTACCACCTTTGTACATTGTTTGGAAGTGATTTTTACCCATTCTTCCTGGCAGATTTGCTCCACGTTGTTCAGGTTGATTGGCTAATGCTTGTGGACTGCAAAAACAGATTCTCGATTGGACTGGACTTGGCCAAATATAGAACATTCACCTTTTTGTTGTTTGACCACTCCTGTAATCCTGTGCTTTGGCCTTAAACACAGGATCACTATGCTGCTGAAAGGTAATGTTTCTCCCAAGCTTTAGTGTTTTTTAGCAGACTGAAGCAGGCTGTCTTGCAGTATCTCCCTGTATTTTGCACCTGAGATCCATCCTTCATTTTTAACATGTCCAGTCCCTGCTTAGGAAAAGCATGCCTACGACATGATGCTGCCACCCCTGTACTTCACTGTTGGGATGGTGTTTGTTGAGGAATGAACAGTGTTAGGTTTTTGCCACACATAGCATTTTGAATTTTGGCCAAAAAGCTCCAATTTTGTCTCATCTGACCACAAAACCTTATCCTACATTTTAACTGAGCCACTCTGGTGCTTTCTGGCAAATACCGGGTGTGCTGTAATGTGGCTGTGGCAGTGAGTTTGATGTAGCTTGAACTCTGTATCTCATTCAGAGTGATTGTTGGCATCTCTATGGCTTCCCTATCAAGTCCGCTTCTTGCTCTAATGCTGAGTTTTGAGGGATGGTCTTGTCAAGGCAGTGCCTGGGTGGCATGATGCAGTTTCCATTTCCTCAGAGTTGATCCAACACTTCTTACTGGGATTTCCAAGCACTTAAATATTATTGTGTAGCCTGATCTTGTGCATGTATAATGTATGTGTATGTATAACTAGGAGCTTCCACTGCTGGAGCTTGTGAAGAGAAGAAGAGCCAATGCAAACAAGAAGAGAGTTGCAATAGTTCAGGCAGCTAGAGATGAAGGCGTGAATAAGAGTTTCAGCAGCAGATTGAGAGAGGCATGGTTTCAATTTGGCAATATTTGCGCAGGTGGACAACAGAAGTTTTAACAACAGACCTAACATGGGCATCAAATGAAAGAGTCGAGGGTTTTATTAAGGGGTTTATTGAAGGTTGATGTAGATCAAGTAAGGGTGACTTCAGTCTTATCGCTGTTACGTTTCCTCCAGTTTTTGGTATCAGGCAAGTTTCCAAATGACTAAGGGGTGGATTTTTAATGGATGATGGCAGAGGTGGAGGAAGTACAGCCTGTGAGAGTGATGAACTGCTTTGTACCTGGTAAGTAAGATGTGAACCAGTACAGGGGAAGAGCAGTCAGTGCCCAGCTCACACAGTCTTGACAGGAGGATTTAACGACACAATGTATCAATAGCTGTGCTTAAATCAAGTAATATAAGAATTCTAACAGCACCAGCACCTGCAGACACAAAGATCATCATGACCCTAATCAAAGCAATTCCAGTGATGTGGAATGGATGGAATTCTGACTGGAAAAGTTCAAAGAAATTATTGGTTTTTGAATAAACTTGGAGTTATTTGGGAACGACTTGTTTGAGAACTTTTGACCAAAATATAAGATTAGAGTTTGGATTGTTGTTATTAAAGTTTTATGCACTTAGGCCAGGTTTTTTGAGTATGAGACTAACTGCAGCAATCTTATAGACAGAGAGAAACAGTAATTGATTAACGAGTTAAGAGACAAGGGCGGGTAGGCAAGCTTTAGTTAAGGTTTAGGGAGGAGATCACGGGAGCAGTTGGTAGTTTTAGACGTTGTAATGATATCAGATATGAAAGAAGAATCAACAGCATTTGTACTGCAGATGAATCTGATGACTTTTAAGGGGATTGTATACTTATACAAGGCATTGTAGTTCATGTCTCAGGTCGCATCAAGCACATCAAATATATCATTTCAAAGACAAAATTCTTATTTTCCCATGATCTTTTATCAAAATGTGATAACTTTACGCTTCTTTTTTTTCAGTGTTTCACTTGAAAATACGTCACGGTATGGAAGGAAAATGCATCATGACTTCTGATTCACACTGGCCCTTTATCAAAGTGGCGTGGAAAAGAGTGCAGATTTGACCGTCGTGAATGATATACGAGCTACTCCATGACTGATTTAGGAAACTGCTGTACAATGATGAAACAAGCAGTGATTTGGGTGCAATAGGCTAGTTGCACAAGATGGCACTTCCAGTATTTCAGCAATGTGTGCACAACAGCATCCGGTGGTGTCTCATCTGGTACTACACATTGAATTTCTACACAACATTTTGGCTGGATCTGCCTAAAGATCACGATATCCTCATCAGCACGATGATATATACTTGTAGTATATACATGTTCTCCTACAATGCTGCATCACTTTTGTGCAGTGGCAGCAGACTCTGCAGCTTCTCTTTAGCGATGTGCTACTAGAATCATGTACAGAAAACACTTGTGATGAACTTAATTGTCGTGGGAGTGAAATTTGTACATGATTATAGTTGCAAACTACTTAAGAGAAGCAGCAAAATCTGCCCCTCACAAATGTGATGTATCACTTCTGGTAAAGCAGAACTCTTCTGCAGTGCTTTTGGTATTTACGGTAGAGTTTTCTGTCTTTGCAGAAAAAAAAATGGTGTGGGTGGGGGTTTTGTACATGATTGAGAAGTAAGGCAAGTTGAGGGCAAGTATGAATTACACGAAGTCTGAACATAAGCAATAAATGTATGCTGGTAATGTAACGTGATTTGAGAGTGGATCTGCAATAATACTGTCTACATTTCACATTAACTTTAAAGGATAGCAGGCGTCCAACAGCTAAATGTTATTGATTGAACTTTCCTTCTTAATTATATAAATCGCCACCTACATTCTGAAGCCCTACTCTCTTTTACTCATTGGTGCTGATGAGAACATCTGAATGATGTGATATACAAGGAAGTGATGCCCTAATTCATGCGGATGTCTTGATAGTGAGCCAATAAAAGAAAAGTGATCAGCAGCTCATGAGCCAATAGTTGTCCTCACAGGCAGAGCTTGGAGTCGAGCAGGATGTGCACTGCCCCCCTACTGGACAGAGCTGAAATATGTTTATAGAGTTAAAATCACAACAATTGAAAAGAAAAAAAATGTAAAATTAACAAAATGTTGTGGCCTTTTTTTCAGATAAAGTGATGTGATGGTGTGTTGTGGTTATTTTTATAAAAATCTGGCTACTTGAGCCATACTGTCATGTGAAGAAGTAAGTGCACCCCATAAAATGTTTCTCTTTCAGTATTTGATCTTTATTTGAACAGCATATATAGATAAGTGTTATGTAATAGAACAAATAAATAATAGAAATTTGACATAATAATGAACTGAGATGTCATTTTTGTCCATTGAAAAAGGAAAAAGTAAATACACCCCTGGCTTCAGGAACTGGTATTGCCCCCTTTGGCAGAAACAACTTTATGTAAGTTTCCTATAACTTTTTCTGGCATCTAATGGGAAAAAAAGATTTGCCCACTTCTCTGTGCAGAATTCTTGTAACTGTGTAATGTTTGAGGGTTTTCTTGAATGTAAAGCCCATTTAAAATTATCCCACAGCATTTCAATGGGGTTCAGATCTAAGCTTTGACAAGGCCATTCCATAACCCTCTGTTTCTTCCTATTGAGCCATTTCTTGGTGGCTTTACTTACATATTTGGGATCATTATCCTGTTGGAAGGTCCACTTCGTCAGCTTCACAGATTTTCACAGATGGTCTCACATTCACCTCAATCAGTCTCTGCTATGAAAGAGAATTCATTGTCAATTCTATAAGTGCAAGTTGGCCAGGCCCTGAAGCAGCAAAGCAGCCCCAAAACATACCATTTCCACTACCATGTCTTACAGTTGGTGAAAGAGTCTTCTGATCAAATGCTGTCTCTGGTTTTTGCCAAACATGGCTTCTGGTACTGTGTCGAAACAACTGTTCAGAAGTCCTGGTTCTAGCCTAGATGTTCAGTCTTTTGTCTTGCCTTGATGTTCCTTTTAGGCACCAAAGCTTCCTCTTGGTGGACATCCAATGTAGGCCAAATTCGTGCAGTCTTTTTCTAATGGTAGATGCATGCACTTTCAACAGTGACAAGAGCTAAGCTGCAGATCCTGCAATTAAATTTTAGGGTTCTAAAAGACTTCTTTTAGCATCTTATGGTTTGTTCTCAGTTTAAATTTGCTGGGGGTGGCCTGGTCTGGACAAGGTGGCAGTGATTTTAAATCTTCTCCACTTGTAGATGATCTTCTGGCCAGTGGAATGATTGATTTCTAGCATTTTGCATACCTTCTCAAACCCCTTCCCAGACTCATAAGCATCTACAACTTTCATTCAGAAGGCCTCAGAGAGCTGTTTGGATCTAGGCTTGATGATACCACACACTTTAATAACAAGATCAAACCAGACTAGATATCTGAGGTTTAAAGAAGATGCGTTCCTCAAAGATACTCTCTAATGATGTTTCTATTCATTAACACCTGATCAGATGCACCTGATTTCAACCTTTTTCACTGTATGTACTGTTAAAATGTAAATGTGAATGTTCATGAGTGGGTTTAGTCATTTGACTTTGGTTAACCAGATTTGGTTTGGTTAATGTCCATGTCTGAAAATTTAAATTTCCTTCGGTCCCACATGTTCTCTGAGTTAGGTGTAATGGGCACAAATAGAAGTTCAGCTAAGGTATAACAATACAAAATTTCTTCACTTTAGACCAGGGCTGACCAAAATTGGCCCATGAGGACGTTAGATTTATACTGCCAAGAAGGTACCCTAATCCCATCCCCTCACACAATGAGAACAAATATATGTTCATGCTATATACAACTTGCTAAATTATTATTTTTCTTCTCAAATTATTTTAATGTATTTTAGAAACAAAACGTGTAGTGTTATGAACTGCTGTTTTAAAACTCGATTTGAAACATACCTTTGTATATCGTTTTGTCTTTTCTGGGACTCGGCCCACCACAAACATTGCACTTTGGCCCCCAAGACAAAAACTTTGGGCACCCCTGCTTTAGACCAAGTTAAACGATTCTGTGGCATTTTTCCATGTCATACTACATAATACATAAATGGGTTATAGTATAATTGGAAATTTAGCATCAAATAATGCTCTGAGAATAAATACATGTGGGCCAATGCCTAAGTGTGTTGCTGTTGGCTATATCTACAGGCTTAGGCCTATTTTAAATGCTTCCACGAATGACTTGCACTCTTGCACAGGGTATTTATACAGAGTGAAACTGCTACAACATCCTAGTTAAAGCTATAATTTTTAACTGAGAATACAAAAGATACTTTTGGCAATAATTTAAACCACCTATTGTATGGAGTGATGATTATGAAGGGTAGAGGTATCTCTCCAGGGTCTAATCAGAGCTAAAAGTCTTTAATTGGGCATTTGCTTTCCATACTAAATTGGTCTTATTACCAAGGGTGCAGCTGATGGTATACTGAATGTCATATTGCCAAGCAATCCTCTAATGATGCTCTTGCGTAAGAAAGAAGGCTTAATAATTGATGACCATCTTAATTATTCTCACAACATAATATGTAATTAACCACATAGGATTTCAGGAAACTGTGTTAGAGTCACTGCATTTTACTTTCATAATGCAGTCTGGCATTAGGCCTGTGCCCATTGTGAAATTTCCACCACTGTCCAGTAGTAATGCCCCTCAGCCATTTTCTATTGGACAGATATGTGGATAAACATTGTAAAATAAGCTGCCTGAAACGGTACTGAAACTTGCAAAAGAACTTATACAACTAAGTTAAACACAAACACACACCAGTATTTACAAACAGGAATAGCAAATGAAAAATGCAAATAAAACAATATTTTTTTGCAAAATTATGCATGATGTTCCTGATATGATCAGAGTATAATGACAGTGTGCATAAGCATGGATTAAATTTGTGGTTCCCAATGCCTGTGCTAACCATAACAGCTCACGCATTACTACAGTAAGCCTCGGTGAAGGTACACCATGTGATAACATGTTCTGAATACACTACACAGATGTCTCATACAGCATGATGGTAAACAGGAAACCCTGTGAGAGTCTCATCTTTTGTTCATTCATGTTTTAAAAAACCTCCAAATAAACAATTTTGAAAGTGGTTCCTATTGGAAAAGCTACTACTTGTAGATTGGATGTGGTTACAATTATCATATCAGTGAATCTGCTTGGAGTGCATGAAAGCTCTTGGTTTTGGGAAACTCCGTCCTCCGTCATGTGTCCTCCCTCTTTCGTTTCATTGTTAATTCTCTCACCTGCTAGTCAGCACACATGTAATTGAATATGGATATGATTGTGGTTTGAGTGATTTAATCTTAATCTGATTGCAATGTATGCCAAGGGTGTTTACATCTGCCTTTCCATGCAGAATCCGAACATGTCTTGCATTGTCTTGTCCACCGTTGTCGACATTGTGAGTGCTGAAAAACTCTTCCCTTTATTCTGGCCCCATTTGCCTCACCATAAGAAAGAAAAAGAGATATGTAGTAACATGCAATGAAATCAGGCAAAGAGCGGCAAAAGAGACTTTTGCTTTGGGTCCTGTTTATGAACTCAGGGATAAAAAGTTTTTGGAGCTTTAAATATTTAGCACTTTATAGTTTGAAAAGTAAAGCACAAAAAAAATGAAAAAATGAGACTTTGATTTACGAATGTACCACATGCCTTCACTTTGATAAAAAAAAAAAAAACTTGACTTAAATACAGTTGTCGTTCTGTTGATTTGCATAAGAAGCTGTTGATAAGTGAACACCGGAACTTGCTTGATACGTGAGCGCTGTGCAGGATGTATGTATGCAACTTTTACAATGGATTTATGAGGCCTTTTACAACATCAAGGGACTGATTTGCCGACTCAGACAACACCTGACCTTTCCTTCGAAACCTGCAGCAGAAAACAATAACAATCACGCTACTGAGTCAGCATCATGAAGCACAGGCTGGAACATACATTATGAGTACAGTATGTGCACAGGTCTTAGACAGCCACAAACACTGTAAAACTGTTGTCTTAACTGTAAGTTTGTTGTGCCAGTAAAAACACTATAATATTCAAATAAATACAAATGAACACAAATACAGTAAAATGTAACTTTATTTTGTTTTATCTTGTTTAGAAGAATACAGGTTTGGTTTCTGACTTCTAGGTTCACTCCAGCCTTTGTATTTGTCAAATTCCATCAACAGCACACCTGATTTTGTTTAATAAAGGATTGACTAGCTAAATCATGTATTGGATGGTAACTGTAAATACTGGACTCCCTCAAAGAGACATCTGGAAATGGTTAAGCTAACTTCTGACAGACAAAAAGGCCCAATCCCATTTCACCCTACCACTTAGCTCATAGCCCTCTGTTTTGTGCATTCACGTTTAGGGGTAGGGTGTCCCGATTTTTTGTTGAGATAGAGGGGTAGGGCGAAGTGTTAGGGCTACATGGCCCTCCAAACAGAGTGTTATGAGAAAAAAAGAAACACCAGCAAGATGGCTGCGCAATCGACCAAAGAAACACACAAATGTGAGTATTTTCTCTGGTAAAACATCACGATAACCATTCTATTATCTCAGTTTAATGTTATTTCAATGTATTATGGTCCTTTTGTACGTAACAAGCATAATAATCACTAGTTGTAAGCTGATTGCTCGGTGGCTAGCTAGCTAAATTTTCTGTTCCACCTTAAATGCCTGAGGCGCCAGAATACAACTGCTGCACCATTTAAGGTGGAACAGGAAAATTCGAATGAGAAGCTAGCGAATAGTTGACTTCAGCTTCATATCACTGAAGAATTAGGGGTGGGCGATAATAACTGATTCTCTTATCCCCCCTCTTTGAAGGCATATGATGTCCTAAATGTAACTAAAGCCCAGCAGCGAGGTTGCTGAACTTTACCATCCTCTGCTATCTCTGCAGACTGGTAACGTTGCCTACAGAGCACCGCTAGTAGCCTGTTAATGAAGCAATGTTCTTTTTTATTTGAGGGTCCCATTTGGTAGGGAAGATTTCAACCACTACCCACTGTAACTCAGTTCCAAGTGGCAAGGTGACACTCGAAAACAAGGGTAGGGGTAAAAATAGGAAATGGGGTTGGGCTAAAATCACACTGTTTTGTTTAGAGACGGCTTAATCATTTCTGTGAAAAGAATGTTTTAAATTCCCAAACCACCCAACATTAAATTATGTAATGAGAATTTTTTTCTAAGCAGCGGTATTAGAATGTGTAGCGGGGAAAATTGCCACTCAACATTGTCTTCTGGGTTTTTCAGACGCTTGAGGGCGCTCCTGAGTGAGTCCAAAATGAATGGGCTGCTATGAAGCGTTTGCACAAATTCATGGTTTGTTAATGCTCATTCATTTCTTATATACAAAAATGCAGTAACACTCTGAACACAGAACAGGATATAATATTTCAACACCGCCGTTATTTTTTTGAGTGCTTTTGAACCAAAGTTAAAGTGCCTTGTGTACATTCATGACTCAGTAAGAGTGAACCACTTCACTCAGCCAGTGAGCTGATCAGCTCGCCAACCAATCAGCACTCAGTAACATCAATGCTAGTGTCCTATGGCCCAAAAAGTAGGACTTTGAAAAAATGGAAAGATATAATCTGCTAAAAAACTGAAAGATATTGGTATTCTTTCTTTTATATCCTATAAAAGATTATATCTTTTTATATCCTTCTACTTTTCAAAACTAAAAGAAGGGTTTAGCTCAATTCACTCCCATTTATTGACTCGCTCATGGGCTGCCTCTGATGTTTGGCAGTCACTTTTTGATATAAGAGGAGAAATAGGAGGTGTCTAGGTTCCCCTTAAGCTGACTATTGAGGTATCTAGGTAGATACCTCCAAGTAAGCTCTCCCGTTGGCCAGGAATTAATGATCCGGACTGAAGGACCAATATATCATATAACCACTTACATACCTAGGAAATGACAGCGGAATCAACCAGTCACATTTGGATTTCCATTGAATATCATTCTAAACCCCGGGTCATCAGTCTTATCCACAAAGGGCTGGTGTGGCTGCAGGGTTTCATTCCAATAATGCAGGTGCTTTTTGGTTGAAATGAAAACTTGCAGCTACACCAGCCCTTTGTGGATAAGACTGGTGACCCCTGCTCTAGGACCTCTGGAAGTCCCAGATGTCACTGACCGCGAGTGAGCAGTAGCCTGAACAGTGCGTTTCATTCAGATGTAATCAACTGAAAACAGCAGTTGCTCTGTATCAGGGCTCTGTACTCAAGAAGTCACTGTAAACCTGCTGCAAGGTAAAATATATGTTAACGTCTGTTAGAAGCTTCAAATAAAGCATGGAATGTCTTTTAGAAGCTTCAAGTGTCCCTGAACGGCCAAATGTTCAATTGAATTGCTGTTAGCTTAGCGCTAACATCCTACTAGAATCCCATAAGAGCGCTATCAGAAATGAACATTATTTTAGGTGATATTCCTGTCCTTAACGAAAGGCATCTCTCTAATAGTAACAGTTCACCTCTGGTTGTTATAACGTACAAGTTACGTTTACGTGTATAAACATATAAATGCTTACTAATCACATTAATGACTGTACATCTTTTTTCTCAGATGGCCTAAGGCTGTGTTCAGACTTACAGCCCAAATCTGATTTTTGGCACATCCAGATTGTATCCAGATTGATTTTTGATAGTCTGGACAGCAAAAAACATATGAAGAAGTGGTTTGAAATGAAATTCCAATTTTTACAGATATGTCTCAGTCTGGACGATCTGGCCACTCAAATCAGATTTCAAAGTATCTTTTGCGTCACTCGCAACGACGATGTCAAATTCAGAGTGACGGAAGTGCTGGGATTCAAGAAGAGCACCTAAGATTCGTGTTTATGCCAGAGCATTTTGAAGTCTGCAGGGCCAGATGATGGCACCATGTCTCCTGCACCCGTGTTTGAAATCCGCATCACCATGTAGTTATTGACGCCTATGTTATTACCACCACAAATCATGCAGTGAGGTTGATAATGTCTGCACCCACAAATCTGATCTGATCACTTGCAAGTAACGTGTGGGCAGTTGTCTCGAAAGATCTGACCTGAGAAACACTCTGAACATAGCCTAAGACTTTTGCACAGGTGTATTTGTTCTCCTTTCTATACTAGAAATGCATCCTACACAACCTTTGAGTATAATCACATTCTATTCCCATCACTCATGATGAATAACATGAATGTTTATTCAATAGGCAAGCTGCAGGTATACATTTTTGTTTTGCTCCAACATAAACACAAAATGACAAAGTAAACTATCTCTTATGTTACAGAAATACAGTCTTATATCAACTTAAGCACCACCATGCAACTGCTCTGAAAACACAGGATGTGTTTGAGATGTGTTCTAAGACAATGGTCACAAACCCTCCTTCTGCAGAGTTCAGGTCCAGCCTGTAACTAACATGCTGCCCTCCAATACCAAACACTAATGCATCTAATCCAGCCAAATAAAGAACTTATGAAGAAGTGAATTAGCTGGAACAGATGTGGCAGATTGTGGCTGGAACTAGACTCCACGTGAAGGCAGATCTCCAGCCCCAGGGTTGGTGACCACTGCTGTAAGAACTTTGATATATTTATTCAGTCTTATGCAAAAGTTTGGCCACGTCTGGCCAAATTCCACGTTTGGTTGTTTTTCTAAGTGAAAATAAGTTAGCACATCATCTACAGGAGACTTAAATGTGGTGTTTTTGTTTCTACAAATATTTATGCACAATTTCTATTTATTTGCTGAGTTTAACATAATGGAACAAAATGAAACATAAAATAAGATGTGCCACATTTATGTTTTATTTTTTCCAATATAGTAAATTCTGCACATGAACAGTTATTGTGCATTAGAATGTTCAGAAGTGTGTTCTCGGTAGAGGATGTGTTCTCTTATTTCCACTTAGCAAATCAAGAAAAACATGCCATTTGACCAAACTTGTGTACACAACTGAAAAGCAGGATAATGTTTTAGTCACCATCTAAATAAAATGTTGTGTTTAGCTTGAAAAATGTACAATTGAACATCATAATATCGAGCAAAGTCTTGATTGTGCTTATCAGTGACACATGTCTGAGAAAGAGCATGCTTTTTTCATCTCAAAAAGCAACCTTGTTTGCCTCACAGAACAAATAGCAATAGCAAAAGCCTTCTGGGTGTTCAGTTAATAATTGATAGCCCTGTTAGTACTTAACAGTCACAAACTCTTTAACTGCACTTTGGGAAAGCAAGCAGGTCTGGACAAAATCTCTTCTGACAAACAACAGCAATATTTTATATTTTTCACCTTGAATTTTGTGCTGTTGTTGAGCCTTATTAAAAAACATCGCTTCTTATCTGTGAAGAAGAAATTTCTAGCTGAATTATCATATTACTTACATTTACTGGACATTTTATCTGTGCTGTATCTACCGTTGATTTCACTTTCCATACAGGTGCACTTTGTAATTCTACAATTACAGACTGTGGTCTATCTGTTTCTCTGGTCAGGATCCCCCACAGAGCAGGTATTATTTGGGGGGTGGATCATTCTCAGCACTGCAGTAACACTGACGTGGTGGTGGCGTATTAGTGTGTGTTGTGCTGGTACGAGTAGATCACACAGCAGTGCTGCTGGAGTTTTTAAACACTGTGTCCACTCACTGTCCACTCTATTAGACACTCCTACCTTGTTGGTCCATTTTGTAGATGTAAAGTCAAAGACAGTAGCTCATCTGTTGCAGCACAGTTTGTGTTGGTCATCCTCTAGTCCTTCTTCTGTGGTCACAGGACGCTGCCCACAGGACACTGTTGGCTGGATATTTTTGGTTGGTGGACTATTTTCAGTCCAGCAGTGACAGTAAGGTGTTAAAAAACTCCAGCAGCACTGCTGTGTCTGATCCACTTGTACCAGCACAACACACACTAACACACCACCCTCAGGTCAGTGTCACTGCAGGGCTGAGAACGATCCACCATCTAAATAATACCTGCTCTGTGGGGGTGCTGTGGGGGTTCTGACCAGAGAAACAAATGGACCACAACCTGTAGCTGCAGACATTCAGAATGCAACTTCATGGTAGGTGTACCTAAAAAAAAAAAAGTGGCAAATGAGTTTATATTGTAATATTATAAAAATATACAATAACCTACAGTTATATGCTAAAGTTTGGGCGCCCCTGGTCAAATAACATGTTTTTGTTGATTTTCTGAGTGAAAATAACTGAACACATACTCTGCAAAGAACACGTCTGCACGTTTTAATAAAAACAATTACTGTTTACTGTTTGACTTGGGGAGTGCAAACTTTTGCATATGAATGTACATGTGTATTAAGCTGTATTAGCACATAGAGTTTTTTATTGATCCCTTCAGAGTTTTGCACAATGCCCTCTAGTTCATCAATTGCTAAAAATACCTGCTGGCTGATAAATGTAAATTATTAAATTAAAATTTCACAGGCAAAGCTATGTACTAAAAATATGCAAAAATTTGGGTGCTCCTGCCAAATCTTGTTTTGTCGGTTTTCTAAGTGAAAATAAGTGAACACATCCTCCACAGAGAACACACTTCTGCACATTTTCATGCACAATTACTGTTTATTTGCAGAATTAAACATATTGGGATAAGATGTTTAACAGCAAATAAATAGAAATAGAGACTGAGGGTGGGGGGAAGGGAGGGTTATATGACTGTTCACTCCTCTATACTAACAGATAAAGCCATCGTAATGTCAATCATAAACGCATGCTTCTGATAAAGAAAAAAAAACAAGTAGTAGTCCTGGACTGAGCTGAGACCACCCATCAGAATGCAAATGCTTTGATGTGCTTGTCAGCTGATGCAGGAATGGCTGTATCAGAGGTGAGAAGGTCTTGCCAAGGGGATGTTTCTGAGCTGAAAGATGAGGCGAGCAAAGGTGTGCATGGACCCGAAGTCAACAGGAGGACCTGGATCTGGCTGAGATTTGGTGACGGAAAGTGCTGGACCTTGTCTCGTCAAGCATAATTCTGGTAAGGCGGAGTCAGTATCTCTGGACAGAACATTCTGTGGAACCAGTAGCAGAGCAGCTAGCAAACTGCATTAACACAAGGCACTGTGTCATGTTTTAAGTACTCAACAGCAGGAAGTGCTTTGAAGTTAAGTAGTCAGGATGATAGTTAGTAGGAAAAGCTGTGAAAGATGTTTTGGTTGCCATTTCATGCTTTTCTGAGTATATGATCAGTATTGTCTGTACTTAAACAACACTAAACAACCACATTTATCACAAAAAAGACTTATGCCAATTATAGAAGCCTATACACTGTAGACTGGGGTTCAATCCCTGTCCGGGCAAGCACCCTTACCTATACCAATAAGAGTCCTTGGGCAAGACTCCTAACACTGGCTTCGCTTGCATGTGTAAAAAATGAACAAATTGTTAGTCGCTCTGGACAAGAGCGTCTGCCAAATGTTGTAAATGTAATATCAATTTAATCAATTAAATGTGGCAATAATGTTTAGCGAAACATTTTGTCTGTTCCCACTCCAAGACAAAATACAGTGTTTATCTATCATGATGTTTTGCTATATGGCTCATCCTTTATGATAGGCAGAGTTTCTCAAAGTTCTCATGGTGAATCAGTGCATGTTTGATATAATGTTCTTGAGGAGTACAGGGGGAATATTCAGTCATTCTGAATGGAGTGCGTGCAAATGGTCCTCCATAAGATAATGTTAAAACTAAGATGATGTTAAAACTGTAAGATTTGTTTGTTTAAATTGAAAGAAGTAGTATAACTGAGTCAGAAGAAAAAAAACACATTGAAAACCAATTGAAATACACACACTCACACACACATTTTCTAAGCCGCTTGTCCTTCAGGGTTGCGGGGGGAGCTGGAGCCCATCCCAGCAGTCATTGGGCAGAAGGAAGGACACACCCTGGACAGGTCGCCAGTCCATCACAGGGCAGACAGACACACATATACTTTCACATACACCTCGGGGCAATTTAGTGTGTCTAAATGGCCTGACTGCATGTCTTTGGACTGTGAGAGGAAACCGGAGTACCCTGAGGAAACTCACACAGACATGGGGAGAACATGCAAACTCCACACAGAAATGACCCTGGTCGCCCGGCCAGGAACCTAACCCATGCCCTTCTTGCTGTGAGGCGACAGCGCTGCCCGCTGCGCCACTGTGCCGCCCCAAATTGAAATAATTTAAAAATCAGAGGTGTCGGGTTGGAGAGGTTTTAGATCACATCATACATCTTTACATATTACCGTCACACGCATGGGCTCAGAAAGAAAGTCCGGCTCAATGTTTAGGTCTCAAATGTAAACAACATTATACTGACGGAGATATAATGGTAATAGTAGATAATTCACTCACTCACTCTGTTGATTAAGATAAGATATATTTAAAGTACATCGTATTTACTTCTCTCAAGTTAAACTTTCTATCAACGCTGTCGTCATCAAAGCACCTGTATCATAGAAACCTGAATTATCCTAATTTTTGAAACAAAAGAGTTTGATGTAGAATAAAAACACAGCTTAAATTGCAAAATGTATTGCCCATTCCCCAGGCAATACATGGAAACTAAGCTGCAAAAACAGTCTGTTATGAATTGACTGTGTCTGTGACACCTTAAAAACCATGCATTTACATACAGTTGTGTAAGTTTTGGCACCCCAGTCATATTACATTTTGTTGATTTTCTAAGTGAAAATAATTTAACACATCCTCTACAGAGAACACATTTCTGCACATTTGATTAACTGATTTTAACATAAGGGAAAATGACAGGAAATGGGATGTGGCCTGTGCAAAAGTTGTAGCACTTTTTTATATTTTATGTATTTTTTTTATTTATTATTTTTAAAAATGTGCACTAAAATTTGCAGAAAAAGCCATATTTACATTTGTTCCCTGTAGAGGATGTGTTAACTTATTTTCACTTATTTTGCAAACTTTGTATACAACTGTATGTTCGCCTATTCAGTCTACAGTGGTTTAGCCTCACACAGAAGGAGTGTTTCAGCATTGGCTGCTTTTTGAATGAAGCATAATACAGGGCAGCCAATCAGAATAGAAGTCATTTGTATATATCAGTCAAAAAGGGACAGTAACACAAACAGCTTGTCTAATTCTAATGGTTGGAAACTGAATTATGAACCCACACAAACATAAGTGAACCTCTAGGAAAGTAAAATTCAAGTGAAAAAGTAAGACATGGATTTGCTTGTATCCTCATATCCTCAGCAGGTGGCACCACAGTGCACTCTGTAGGGGATTTGACAGTGGACTATGGCCAGCATTATAATACAGGCCTTTGGGAGACATGAAACCAAGCAGTGAGTATTTTTTCTGACTTTGGCCACTCAGGCCAGGAGTGGAGTTGACTTCATGAGCTCAGAGCAGGTGATGGAAAAGAAGAGGAAGAAAACATGACATGTTCAATGTTGACAAGGTTGTAACTATAATTAAACATTAAAAAGCATAAAGACTCTCTTACTCTTCGGAGCACACACTACAGTCACCTACACTGCAGTCAAAATATTTCAATAGTATAAAATACTAAGGAAGAAACCAAGGACAGGCCCTGTGTTATCTATCAATGAGGACCAAGCCTGACAATAAAGTGTCTTCAACGAGGATCAAGTCCACCAAATCTGATTAGCATCAGTAGCAAATAACGGTGGACTAAAGTTCATATTTCCAAGTAATCCTCAGTGGTATTTATCACATCCATTCCTCTTCCCAAACAATAGGTGCTGAACTTACTGAGTGGTCCTCAAATCCAGTCTTGCAGGCCCCTCTGTCTCTGCGCAGTTTCAACTACTCCCTGACGTCTGCATAATTCCCTGCCCCAACACACATCCAGCTCACAAAGAGCTTGATAATGACCTGATGAGCTGGTAAAAAAGACTAAACTTATACAATTGATTAATAACAGAGAAAGCAGTGCGCTTGATTACTCTTGCCTTGTTTTTGAAACAACTGCTAATACTTCAGTGATGGCAGAGGATCAGAGCTGAGCTTCAGCGCAGTTACGCTTGATAGCGGATGAATTAGACAATGGACAATGACGTCCATTCTTTTTCGGGTACAGGGATTACGTGCAGATTGAGGAGAGCTAAGTGGTGAAATAGATGTGGATGCGTCAGTGTTGGAGACCCTTTAAGACGTTGCTCACCAACTTCAACATGTGTCTGTGTCAGAGATAGCAGATAGACATTTTACGAAACTATTCTTTCTAAAACCTTTATCATTATTAATAATTCACGACTGACCATCAACTGTGTGTGCGGACACGGCTGGGCCAGGCAGTTTCTGTGCTGTGGCAGAGTTTGACTGGGCAGCTCCAGATGTTGAGGCTGCAGGGATACCAATAGTGCGGTCAGGCCACTACTAGGCCATTTTTAAATGAACAGAACAAGGAACACAAGACACTGACAGTTGTCGATTCTGCTCATAGGTATATCTTCATTTATTTATTTATGCATCTCTAACCCACTATTTAATACTTTCTCACATTTATATTTCACATTTATGTATTTATTTAATTATACATAACGTACCACTTTACCACCTGGCCTTCTCTCTTGTTTTACTCTACTCAGACTTTTCAGTCCTTCTTGTGACCCAGTGGTTACTTTAACCTAGGAATGAAAATAGGTTCATGTTCCTTTAAGACTATAATGCAACTATGAGAAGTGATGAGCTACTTACTGCCATGGCCGTGACCATAGATATAAACACCTAGATGGCGCGTTGTCTGTTGTTCTCTATCTGAGGCTATCTGAGACGTCTGCGCGTCCGCCATGTTGGAGCGGTCAAGATCCGCCTGTGAACAAATTCACTTGTACTGGGGGATGATGAGTCTCAGGATTAACTTTGCCACAACCTCCTTATTACTCAACCGATTTTCACCAAATTTATTTTGTTATAATCCTCAGACATAGATTAATCTAATTTGCAGGGACAGCTTTTATTTCTTTTACAATTGTGCTAATTAGCCATCCGCACCAACAGCAAATCCATTAATGTGTGTATCACTTCTAATCTTAATACACATAAAAATAAAATAAAGCCCCAAAACACAGTAAGACGGACAAAGCTGAAGTTAGCTTCCAATTTGCCAGCTTCTTGTTCGAATTTTTCCATTCCACCTTAAATGGTGCAGCAGTCACTCTCTGGTGCCTGAAACTGCACCATTTAAGGTGGAATGAGAAAATGCAAACAAGAAGCTGGCTGCACCATTTAATGTGGAATGAGAAAGTTCGAACAAGAAGCTGGCAAATGAGAAGTTGACTTCAGGTTCGTGTAAGAAGGTTCTAAACGTTAATCTACTATGAATATCTACACAAATTAAGAAATGCTATAACTTACCTAGCTGCAAAGCATTAACCATCATTGTAAATAAATAACTACTACATAAAGTTAAAATCCCCTGAATAGACTATAAAATTAAAATAAGCTTAATATAAAACCAGAGAAAAAACAAACACATCAACAGGTTCTTTGTGCATCACCAACCACACGGCCATATCAACACATAAACATCACACAAACAAAACTCATCACACAAACATGAGCGTGGATCACTGCGTTCCCTCCGTTATATAATCCTATCCGACATTCTGAGTGCATTATTCTTGAAATGGTATAACTTTGGACAGTATCTTTCTAAACTGCCGCTCTGTAATGGTACTGAAGGCGGTCCAGCAGCGATGTTGACCGCCCCAAAATGGCGGCGCCGTTGACGTGCCTGGCAGGACACAACGCGGCATCTAGGTATGTACATCTATGGCCGTGACTAGCTATAAGGACACGGAGGTCCGGACCTTAGTGGTTAGAAGGTTTTTTTCTTTTAACTTTCCTCCAATCATGAGATTCAACGTAGAATCTATTATGATAATACAGTCTACTCAGCGGCGCAGTCACAGAATCACAGGCCACCCAATCAAATGGGGGCAGAATATTTATTATGCCGTATTTCTGGAATGATGAAAATTGATTTGTT